CGTCCTCATACAATTGGACAGCTCAAACCAACAGTAATCCTTTATGGTGATTCACACCCTAAAGAACAAGAAATTTCGAAATCACATTTCTCAAAAATAAATTGTAAAATAGATTTCTTCAATATCTTTTATCTTACAATATTTTTATTTATTTGCTATTTAATTATTGATTTGTCAAAACCCGAATCCACCCAAGAAGTGTTTAATGAATATCTAACTGATGATGAATTTATTCATGTAATATATATCGAAAAGTTAATAAATGAAATAACTAATGCAAATGAAACGAAAGACAATAATCTTCAAATGGAAGAAGAAAACAGTTTACTTAAGACAAAGCTTAATAAATCGAGTGATTTTACATTAAAAGAGATTGAACGAATTAGAAAAGAAAATTTACTCCTTAAGCAAGAGAACAAACGAGTCAGAAATAGATGTTTGCTTCTCAAACAAGAAAATGAACGAGTCAGAAATGAATATTTGCTTCTTAAAAATAAAAATGATCAAACTATAAATGATAATAAAGTTCTAAAAACAACAATTGAACAAACAAATTTTATAAACTCAGAACATTCAAGTGACATCATAAAGACGCAAAGGTTTAAGAATAAAAAAAGAATTTTTGCTTTGGAAATAGAAAGACTTTTAAAAAAATTGAATTTAATCAATTCATCATTAGCCCACATATGGCGCCAATTCTTTAAAGATGACAGTAACATTGAAATTATTGAATTAAAAATTAAATATCTTGATAAAATTATTCATTACCAGTTAATTCCAGAATTAATAAATAAATTAATTTGAAAAAAGAATAACTTAGAAAATGATTTAGTGATGAAGGTTGAGATTTGGGATTTATTTGAAGTTTTAATGCTAAGTGATTCATTTGATTTTTTTTCTGATGAATGTTTACTTTTTGTAGTACCTTTATCCGAGCAAATGGATTCTTGTAAATAGTTCTCGTAAATAAGGAAAAAAACAGATAGTGAGAACAGGGAACAAAAAGGGGATAAATCATATTCACTATTAAGGGTAGGGGTATAGATTGTAAATTATATATAAAACTCATAGTATTTATATCTTTTATAGATATCACTAGTGAATAGTCGCAAAACATGTGAATTCGTAAAGCAAAAAACATTACTAAAAAAAAGCACTATTAATTCTTATTGTCTCCCATAAACAAGTAAATCTAATAAAAATTGAGTTAATTACGTAATCATAATATACAACAGTAATTAAAAAAAAGAAAATTTAAATTAAGAGTTTGAAATCGCTAAAAGCCTTAGAATAACCTTTTATTAACCATTTATATACAACCTGATACAAGCATAGTTTGAGTCCCGAAATTGGTCCTAACGTTATCGCGGTTACACATGATTGATCATCGAATTAAGGTCCCGTTCCCTACCTGAGTAAATGGTCACATGAAAAGTAAAGAAATTTTACTTTTCTTCTTTCTATTACTTTTATTACTTTATTACTTCAGGTAAATCAATGATATATAGAACAATCGGCTTTTCTTTTTCATAGTGGAAATAAGGGTTTTAGCAGTAATATAGTATAAATAAGTAATGTAGAGGAAATTAATCTCAAATGTAAATAATAAATAAAGGGCTTCTCACCCAGAGCGATACCCCCAAGTAAATACATTTGCATAATAAAACTAAGTGCACGTCCCTTAATAAAAGTGAAAGTACTATCCTATCCAGACTAATAAACTATCGTTAATCACATTGTTAGTGATAGAGGTTGGAACCGGTTTTAATAATTCGGGTTTATTACGTAAATTTTGAATATTTTAAATTAAATTTTTTAATAAGGGGAAAGTTTCTGGACACTTACCATTTATGTGATTTTGTACTTACCAAATATAAACCAACCAATCAAAGCTAATCTAACCCTAATGAAATTTTTTTGCCAATCCTTTCTACTAGCCAATCAAATCGCTAGATATGCACTATATGTACTATACATACTGTACGTACTGTACGATAAAAAAAGTTAAAATAGAGGATTGCTTCCTTCTGAATAAAGACAGCTATTTTACGACCATTAATGCTTTTCAGAGTTTGGAATTTGGGATTCCTTTATCATTTATCAAGAATTTTTTAGAAAAGTTAGTTAATTTAGTTCATTTATGATAATACAATTCATTAAAAACTCAGTTCATTTTCCGATGGCATCTTGATGCTGTAGAAGAATGAAATGAGTAATAGAATATTATTGATGTCCAAATAATATCAAATGCCAACTTAATGCGTCAAATTAGTTTACTATAGTGTTTATATTTTTCTAGGTTAACTTCAAGATAACCGCCTACATTAAGCATAATTTATACCAAATTAAGCTTTATATAGGGCTTTATGTAGGCCAAAATATTAAACTACACCGTGGGGCATTATTTTAAAATGTTATAATCGTAAAATAATTTTTTATTTACTTGTTTAATTGTAGAATAATTCTTTATATGCATATATTATTAAATTAACCAAATTAAAAATTTTTAAGGATTTTATTTTTCGCTTCGTTGGGTTAGTTTGGTGTCATGTGAACCATTTCTATCTTGTCACTAACTCTAAATTTTCTAAAAAAACTATTTGTTTTGAGGTTATTTCAGTGTGACCTTTTCTATTATTTCTAAATTTTATACTGAGGAAATCGTTATTGTTTATTTCTCTTGTTTAGTAAGTCTGTCCCAACATTCTTTTTTCTTTTTTTTTTATTTCCTACTTGTGTTTTATTATTTGTTTCAGGAAATTTACTTTTTGATAATTTTGTAAATATCATTACTTTGTTATTTGATAATTCCAAGTTAACAAGTTTAACACACTCATCACAGGTGCCTAATATTTGATAGTCAATAAACCTATATCACTCTTTAGTAACTACATCTATAGCATTCACTAATATAACATAACCATTACGGTCATGAACTGCTCTAGCAAAGTCTTTTATAAGAGCTTTAACTCCAGGAATTCTTAAAGAAGTTCCAATTATAATCAAACAATCAGC